TCGCTCCGGGTGCCATCAGTGCCACTGTGCCCCCCTCCCACGCCACCTCCTCCCTTCAGCCTCTGCGAGAGGATGGACGGCTTCTCCAGCTCCTGGGGAACAGGTGTCAGGGCACAGTGACCAGGCCACCTGCACCCCAAATGCCTCGGGCAGGGGGACACCCCTCTCACCCCATTGCCGTAGGAGAGCACAGGGTCAAAGAGACTGTCCAGGTACCGGTCCAGACCCTTCTGGCTGCGTGGCTCCCCAAATTCACCATCTGAGAGGGGACAAGGCATGAAAAAGGCATGGCAGGGCTTTGTCACAACACTGGGGGACAGGAACTGGGGGGAACGATGCCCTACCATGGGAGTGATACGCCTCCATGGAGGGCAGTGTGGGGGCTTTCACAGCTGGGGGAGGTGGCACTTCATCCAAATCAAATCCGTGTCCCAGCACGCTGCAGAGAGGGAGGATGCACTCATGGAGCACCCACTGGGTGCCAGGTTCCCCCTCAGGGGTCCACCCATCCAGCCCAGTGCCAAGATCCCCCCAGCCCCATAGTGGGGCACCACCCCTGCCCGGGTACCTACGGCCGGCTGTCCCTGCTGTGGCTCTCGCTGCCATCCCACGCGAGGAGGAAACAGGATTTCTGTCTGGGGAAGCCCCGCAGCAGCTCCAGGTCGGAGACAAGGTCCAGCACATAATCGTGTCCAGCCAGCTCAGCCCACTGGGCACCCGCCTTCATAGCCACGGACCAGCCACGCCAGCCCTCTGCCAGCCCTCTGCCAACAGCCAGACACGGGATGGGCACAGGCTCCACAGGGACACCCTGCCCATGAGCTGGGCATTCAGGCTCCCACATCCTGGGGACACCAAGGTGACACCGTGACCCACAGGGTGGGTGGATGCCGAGCCAGCACCTACCTGAGCTTCAGGACATCCCCTGCCAGGTCCTCTCCTGTGCTCCAGGAGTGGATGGGGCAGGAGAATTGGTCACCTGGGGAGGGATGGACGGTGAGCAGGTGCCACCAGCCCTCCCTGCCCATGAGGGCAGCCACCCTGGGACCACCCATGCCCAGCAGCCC